ACAGTAGCAGCAGCAGCAGCAGCAGTACAGAACTTGGCATGGTGGATGAGACAGTTCGGCCTCGCCCCCCCCGTCGACCAAAAGTTTCTTGTCCGGAGGTAACCAATACCTGGGACCAAAGGGAGGGTAATCTTCACGATCCAAGGCATGTTAGCTGGCCGCTGGTGTTCACACTCGCTCACATTCAGACCCACTTGTGCGCCAACTGCGGCCCCGTTGTTGCGCGTGCGCGCGAGGCTGCGCGCCTGGGTGTCCATGCGCGCTCCCCGGGAGGACTGCTCACGCTCGGACCTGCGCGCGCAGTCCTACACACGCTTTATCGACCCACCCACGCTCAGACCATCACAGGGAAGTGCCAGGACGTGACATGCACATTTATGGTTTAGTGAGCGTTTTCTTCGTCGGCGTTTCGACATTGGGCGGAAGGGCGGGGGGGAGGGGGGGTCTGGCTCTTGACCTCTGTTTAGTGCGACTGTTTGCAACAGTGCGTCCATTATGGGGGAGGCTCCACCTGCTCGAAACAGGCGCCGAAAACAGCCAAGATCCACTCCATGATGGGGGGGGGAGGTGAGGGTGCGAGGGCCCGCGCCGATCGGCAAAACAATGAAGAAGAAAACTGACACTTACGGGGGCAGATTGGCGCCGCCTCTAATTTTTCACGACGCGATGACATCAGGGTCCCCCTCCTGCTCAGGGCGTCGCCAGTTGGCGCCCACGCGGCGCCGACGCGGCGGCGGGGTGCGGGCGGCCCCTGGGAGCGCGCCTCGCGCGCGCGCGCGTGACGTGCGCCGCGGCGCGCTCAGCCTCGCGACGATCCCGCGCCCGCCGCCGCCGGCGCCTCGGCAGCCTGGGGAGCGTCTTCTTATTTGGCGTTTCGACATTGGGTGGAAGGGGGGGGGTTCTGGCTCCAAACCTCTTTGGACGCCCGAAATGGGTACACAATAATTGGGTACAATGCCCAACAACAAGTGTTGCCCCAAACCAACAGCGGCCGCTGTTGGGCAGGCGGCCTCCTGTTTCAAATAGACGCAGGCCGCGGCGGCGCGGACAGCGAGCCCTCTCCAAAATGAACAGGAACTGCTGTTGGGCATTGTACCTATTCTTTCCGTACCCATGTCGGTTGTCCCGAACCTCTGCTTAGTGCGACTGGTTGCAGCAGTGCGTCCACTATGGGGGAGGCTCCACCTGCTCGAAACGGGCGCCAAAAACAGCCAAGGTCTACTCCATAGGGGGGGGGAGGGGGGGGGCGAGGGCCTGCGCCGATCGGCAAGACAACAGGTAAAACAAAAAAAACACCTGCCGCGAGTCTGTCTGTCTTGCTCTGCTCTCTGATTTGGGGGGCCTCTCCAGTCGGGCAGCGTTGAGGAGGCGGGCCCTCGTCGCCCTGCTCGGCTCTGGCACCCCCTCGCGGCGTGAATACACTTGCGGCGTGAGGTTTGGGGCAACTTTCGGCCTCGGGGGCGAGGGCTCTGGGTTCTGCCACGACGTCGTGAACACACCACGACGTGAGTGCTTTTTGGTGTCCCCGTGACCAGGGTCGTCCATAGAAGGAAAAAACTACAAACACATAAACTGTTGGGGCTCCGCGCGGATTTCTTGGATCTGCGCTGGAACCCCCTCCCTGACGCGCGGAGCGCGCCAGGGGCGGCGCCAGAGGCGCGGCCGGGGAGGGGCCAGCGCGGACCCAAGAGATCCGCGAGGAGCGGCAAATGTATATGTTCATGGCGTTTATTCTTCTTCGTCGTATTATTAATGTTACTGTTATTCTCATTAGTATCAGTAATATTATTGTTGCTACTATTATCATTGTTATTATTGTTAGTAGTAGTATTATCATCATTTGTGTCATTAGTATTCTTATTATTGTTACTATTATTACTATTAGTATTACTATTATTATTACTATTATTACTACTATTATTATTGTTGTTAATATTATTATCATTATTAATATTATTATTAGTAATCTTAGTATTCTTCTTATTATTATTAGTCTTATTATTCTTATTCTTATTATTATTAGTATTCTTCTTATTATTATTATTAATATTATTATTATAGTTTCTGATTATAAGTATTATTATTATTATTATTCGACTTCTGGCCATGGCGAGCCTCGCCGACCTGGATCTGAGCGGCCCGAGGAGAGCACATGTTTTTCTTCTGATTCGCGAGGGGCCTCTGGCCTTTCAGCTCGCCCTACTCCTCCTCCTCTTCCTCGACTCCTCCTCCTCCTCATGCACAGCTCCTCCCTGTCGCACCCCCAGGCCACTCCGAAAGGCGGGCCGGGCAGGCCCACGACCGTTACAAGCCCCGCAACGCCCCATGCCCCTCACCCCCCCCTGGTCACGTCACGACTCGCGCCGGCGCCACCTCGGAATTGGCCATCCCTTGGCATTCCCAGACGGCACCTTCGCGAATCGTGATGTCACGGGCCCCCCTGCCACCCTGCGCCCCCCCCCCCCCCCCAGTCACGCCCGCTATCGCAAACCAGGGGGATTGAACACATTGAGCTCAAACTGGGGAGATCACAAGGTACCGATAGCGAGTTACCGCGCTAGTCTCAGAACCTTTCCTCGGGTGCGTTCTGACCAGGATATCGGAGCGAAGCCAGCGGTTGCGACGAGGGCCTCCCAGGAGGCCCAAGAAGGGGAAACGGGGTAGCGGTATGGGTACCTTTTCCTCCTCCGAGCTGTCGCCAGCCGAGATATGAAAAAATTGTTCAGCTCAAACCAGGGCCACTCAGCGAGAGGCGATTCATCGGCTCTCACTCTCCTCCCCTGTCGTGGCAAACGCTCCTTGCTGTCGGGAATATTGATCCTCCTCTGTCGTGAACAAATGTCCCTTATCGTGTGAGAGTCTCGTCGTGTCGTGAACTAATCCTCCTCTGTCGTGAATGCATCTCCCTTGTCGGGAAAAGTCGTGGTTTAGGGGCCACTCCTGAGCCCAAGAAGCGGTCCGGCTGGCTCGGCGCCCCGGCTGTAGCGGGTGCTCCTAGGCCCCACGGCGCGCGGGCCCCGACGGGGTTGGTGGGGGGGACGCGCACTTGGACATACTATAATACAGCGCGTCCTCCTTGGAGGCGTGCGCCCGACCCGAGCACATCGTAGAGCCATTTTGTACGGTGTGGTTCCCATCGTCCTTGAGGACCACGTCCCAGAAATCATTTCGGGCGCCCAGACAAGTGTATCGAAATGGTGCCTGCCCGACGCGCCAGCGAGGCGTCCAACGAACTTCGCCTCCCAGGGGGCCGACGCGTGAGAACCCCTCCGGTCTCGGCACCTCCCTGGCGCTCGAAGCTCTTCCCGGCGATCACAGGCCGAAGCGATCGAAGCTCTTCCTGGCGCTCGAAGCTCTTCCTGGCGCTCAAAGCTCTTCCTGGCGATCGAGCGATCGAAGCGATCGAAGCTTTTCCTGGCGCTCGAAGCGATCGGAGCTATTCCTGGCGCTCGAAGCTCCTCCTGGCGATCGAGGCCGAAGCAGCTTGGAGCACCACAGCTCTTGCAGTCGATGGCCTCCCCAGCGGTAGGGCCGGCCAATGCGCCCGCCGCCGAGCACGTATACTGTAAGCTTGCTCGGCGCCCGCGTCGCCCCTGAGGAGGAGGAGGAGGAGGAGGGAGGAGGAGGAGGAGGAGGAGGAGGAGGAGGAGAGGAGGGGAGGAGGAGGGAGGGGAGGAGGAGAGGAGGAGGGAAGGGGGGGAGGAGGACGAGGGTCTGAAGCCTCATGGGCACGTTCCTTCACGAACGCCCCCACCGCAATATGTTGGGGTAACGCCGACCTTCCCCCGGGACAAGCATAGCGTACGCCTGCAGTCCCGGGGCCCGTCCCAGGGCCCCCCCCGGGATGCTCTCGGGCCAGGACTGCGGAGAGAACCCAGCCATGGCGACGAGAGCTCTCCAGAGTGAGCAGCCGTATGCCGTAGCGGTACCTCCCCAGATCACTGTGAGCGTTTTCTTATTCGGCGTTTCGACATTGGGCGGAAGGGGAGGGGGGAGGGGGGAGGGGGGGGGGGTCTGGCTCCGGACCTCTGCTCAATGGCGTCTGTTTGCAACAGTGCGTCCTGTGGGGGAAGACCCCACCTGCTCGAGACAGGCGACCCAAACAGCCAAGATCCACTCCAGGGTGGGGGGTTGGGGGCCCGCGCCGATCGGCAAAACAAGGAATAAAAAAGCGACCACCAGAGCATTGCACACCAGATGTTTGTACGTCGATGGGCGGCGAACGATCAGCGCCCCGAGCCGGCCGATCGACCCATCGCGGCCGAATCCAACATCGGCCACGATCGGTCGAGGTGGATCGCGACGGGTCGGTCGCGACCTGTCGGCCGCGACCGACTTTGCAGCACGTCGGCCGCGAACGATCCTGGAGTTTGAAACAAAATCGGCAGCGACCGATCTCGCTGGTCGCGGCTGGAAGGTTCCAGTATCCAGGAGGAGGAGGAGGAGGAGGAGGAGGAGGAGGAGAAGGCAGTGATCAGGGCGCCCAGGAGAGCACGAGCGGCGACGGGTCCCAGGGCCCGCGTCCCCCTGGGCACCTCTGCCTCGATAGGCGAGGCTCGAAGGGGCGAGCCCCGAGATCCTGGCGTTGCATGTTTTCACCACGGGCGCTTTTTGCAAAATCGGTAGTGACCGACTGGAGAACTCCAGCCTCCAACGATCAGTGTGGCAGAGCAGTGGGCGGGCACGGGCACACCAGAGAGCTCAAAATCCTGAGATTCTGGCTGGCGCCTCAACTTTGGCCGAGCCGGGCGTCTCCGCCCAGCGTTCGCGCCCCGGGACCCTCACAAATCGATCTGGCTCGAAAAATGACGAAGAACGATTGGGTGTAGGGCTCCTGCCGTGATATTTTACTACATTTGTCAGCTCTTCGCGCCGAATAAGCGACCAAGAGAAAACACATCCCCGACCCCAGAATCGCGGATTCACCGAGGATTCGAAGGGCGGCCAAAGATTTCGGGGTATGTTTTGCGTTCGTCGTTGTCGCCCTGGTAAAACCTCGTCGTTGTCGCCGTGGTAAAACCCTGCCCAAAAATCTCCCTCCCCGAAATCTCGAGGCGCCTGCGTTCTGTTTTGGCCCTCGCGTTTTTGGGATTGAGCGTTTGTTTTGAGTTAGTGATAAGATCTCCGGAACGGGCCGCCTGCTGCTCCTCGCGGTCGAGGAAGGCGCGCAGCTGCCCAGCGCCGGCGGCCCCCACCGCCAGCGCCATGTCGGCCTCGCTCATCTCCTCGGGGGCCCCAGGATCATGATGTTCAAACCTACTCTAGCCTCGACCACCTGGGAGAATTCCAAATACCAAGAAAGTGCAGAAACTGAAGGGTTTTCACGTGTCGGGCCCTGGGAGGCGACACTGTACTCGCTCGACACGGTTTCGCTACTCTTCTGGGCGCTCGAGATGAGTTCTGGGATGTTTTTTTTTTTCACCCCAACGAACCCATCACCCGATGCCCGTCCAGAGGCCAGACAATTTCGATTGAGCGTCAAATCCGCTTCCCCTCAAGGGGGCTATAACCGCACCAACACATGACTCGCTCGCGACAGGGCTGTAAATTGGCCGGCCGGGTAAACGTCGCCACATCTGTCAACGCGTGCCATCTGTCGACTCGGGGCGCACCGCCAGAGCTCCAACCTAGGCAGGCCATCTGCAGCCTGAAGCCCTGCATCAAAACATGCATACTGGGACGCTCCACGCCCGAAGAGTGGACTTGGGCAGCAGATTTCCGCGCCCATCCCGCCGACACGTCAACATGAATGCGGCCATGCTGCGACAAGAAATGCCGCGCCTGGGTGAGGAGGCAGAGGGAGGAGGAGGAGGAGGAGGAGGAGGAGGAGGAGGACAGCGAATGGAGAGAGCGCGAGGGATCCAAACCCTCAAGACCGAGGATACGAACTCCTACAGCCACAAGCTGCACTCCCCTGGCGACTCAAGCGGGCAGCCCGCAAATGGTGGCCGATGGCGAAGGTGGCCGGCCAGCCAGGACAGAACGGTCCCGTAGCGACCCCCGCCGTGGGGAGCGGCTGACGATCCCGGGCGGCCCAGCCCTGCACCACCTCCGCGTGCACACGGCGCAACGGCCAATTCCCGCAAGAAGTGCGCAGCCCCAAGCGCACCCCGCACGGAGGGAGGAGGACAGAGGAGGGAGGAGACGACGGAGGGGGAGGAGGAGGGGGGAATCTGTCTGCCAAATGCGGCGCTCTAAATCGCGCATGCCGCACGGCATCCTGCTCACGGACAGCTACTGCCAGCAACTCTGCCCCAACCCTATGGCCTCGGGCAGGCTGGCGGGGCAGCCTCACCCCCAGCAGGGCCGCAAGCCCATTGGGAGGACAGGGAACCGCCCCCAGAGGAGAGGGAGAGAGAGAGAGAGAGAGACACACACCGAGCCGAGAAGGGAACGAGAGAGCAGGCCAGAGGGGGACAGGCGAGGGCGAGAGAGGAGAGGAGCGGTACCCTGCACCCCCAGGGGCGTGCGGCCCGGCCAGGGCGGGATGTCCTCGAAGAGGACTGCCCCCAGCGCCACGCGAGCACCGAGGCAATCATGGCCGGTGCTGCTTCCAGAGACCGCGAACTCCAGAGCCCCGGGACCCGGTCACCCGGCACAGGGACGGGGAGGGGAGAAGGAGGAGGAAGAGGAGGAGAAACAGGCACCGATATTAAAATAAGCTGCAGCAGCCCCGCGGGCCATCCGCGCCGCCCCCGCGACACGGGCAAGGAAAGAATGTGTGAAACAAAAATGTGAAACCAAAACTGCAGGCGCCGCGCCCTCGCAGCGCGACCCTTCTCACATGCAACCGCGTCTCCCGAAAACGGCGCCCGGCAGCGCCCGTCGTCAACTCCCAGCATCACCCTGCCCCCGGCGGCCCTCCCGCATGTACTCCGCGAAGGCGCCCTCGATGTCCACCGCCGGCAGGTCGCCGCAGCGTCGGTGGTTGTAGCACCGATACAAGGCGTAGACGCCGATGGCCCGGTCTCGGATTTTCGACTGCCCCGCTGCGGAGGCGGCACCTCCCGCCAGCAGCAAGAAGTGGTCCAACGCCTGCGCCCGCGGAACAGGCTCGATTGACAGAAAACGGGCGAACAGGCGCCTCTGGACCGGGCAACTGGCCAGGTGTTCAACGCTGTCCTGACACCCTCCGCAGCCGAGGCGGCAGGGCGAACGTCCCTGGAAGCGCCGACTGGTGCACCATCCATTCAGTTGCAGCCGGATGCACGCCGCCAGGACGCGGGGCTGGCATTGCGCGGCAACCACCGCCAGTGCACTCTGAGCCCGCCCGAGACGCCGCCCCGGTAGCAGCTGCAGCGGCCATCTGTCCAGCTTTCGTCGCCAATGTCGCAGCGCCTCCATGCTGCGTGCTGGCGCGATGAGCAGAGAAGCCTTGCTCTGCCAACGAGCGCGCTCCTCCCACCAGTCTGGCCGCGGGCCGAGTGCTCTCCTGGCAGCGCTCACCCGGTCGTCCGCCTTGGCGATCTGCACCACGAATGCCCGGTCGCGCCAGTCACGCAGCCAAGCAAGTCTGTCGAGGGAGGTGGACTCCGGCACGACACAGCGAAGGCCCTGCAATGCGCGGGTCCGCTCGTGGACGCGGAGCTCGCCGGAGGCCTCCCACTTGGCCACCCGGGCCTTGGCCGCGATGACTGTTCGCGCAACGTCCTTCAAGGCGACGGGGAAATGTAGCTCGGACAATTCCTTCAAGCAGCCAGGGCTCATCCAGCCGGAGGGGCCTGGTAGCAGCGCCGAACACGCCCGCTTCTCCCATTCTGCCCAGTCTTCTGGCAAGGCCTCGAACTGCCCCACGAAGAGCAACACCGAAGCCACGTAAACTCTGTAAGCATGAGCGAAAGCTGCAGCCCTGCGCCCAGTCGGCCCCATAACTGAGCTCGCGCCAAGAACTTCTCTAAGGGTGCCTTCCAAGAGAGCTCTCTCCTTCCTGGCCCCACGTAGACGCCCAGATATTTGGCGGCCGCGGCAACCTCAACTCCGCCCCAGCCTGGGGCCGCGCGAATCAAGTCGGCGCGCGCCGCTGCCAAATCCCGCGGGTCCAGCGGCACTAGCACAGTCTTCGGCACGTTCAGAGCCAAGCCAGAGATGCAAGCGAATTCGTCGAAGAAGGCCTGAAGGCCCCCCACGTGTTGGCTGCCCTCGGGTAGCACCATCGCGAGGTCATCTGCCCATGCTCGCAGCGCGGCGCGAGGAAAACGCCGGCGCAACCTGCGGAGGTAGAAATCCGACGCCGCCGCGAAGAGCAGAGGTGATAACGGGCAGCCTTGCCTGATGCCCCGGGACAGGCCAAAGCCTTCCTGCCGGCCGCCTCCGACGTTGAGGAAGCAGTAGTTGTTCCAGTAGAGACTGCGAACGAAAGCGCACAGCCAGGCGGGCCATCCAAGCGACCGGAAGAACTGCTGGAAGAATTCGTGTTCAATCGAAGGGAAGGCCGCCGCGAAATCAAAGAAAATCGCGTAGGCCCCCTCCGCTTCAGCAGCAGCCTGTATCATTGCCTCGTCTATGTCCAGCAGGTTGGAGGCCATGGAGCGACCCGTGAGGAAGCCCTTCTGATCCTGCGTGATTAGCGGTGCTAACGCAGGTTCCAAAGCAATTCTCACGGCGCTTGCCAAGAGCCTGTTGTGCGTGTTCGTTATGTTGAGAGGGCGGACCCCCCCAGGCAGAAAGTACTCCTCCCCGTTCTCCGTGGTGCCAGCCGCCTTCTTGGGCAGGAATAGCAACAGACTCTCGTTGAAGCTCGGCATGTGGCGCTGGAAAAGCTCCTCCGCGTCCTCGCCGCTCAGCTCGACAAGAGCCTCGTGAAGCACGTCCACCGCGAGCTCCCCAAGTTGTTTCCAAGCACGGTATGGAATGCCATCTGGCCCCGGAGCGCTGCTGCCAGTGGCGGCGATCGCCTTCCGAACGTGCCGCTTCGTGACCCGCAAGTTGCGCAGCGCTCCGTGCGAAGGTGCGTCTGGCGCGCGCTCAGTGGCGGGCGTCTCCCGGCAGGCCCGGTCCTCCTCCAACCACGTCTGAAGAAGCTGCTCGTCCACCCCTCTGGCCCGAAATACGTCGCTCCAGTGGGTCCGGAGCGTGGCTGCCATATCGTCGGCCTCGGTGGCGAATTCGCCAGTCCTCTTCTGAACGGCATGTACTGCCCCATTGCGGCCTGGCATCAACTTGTACAGTATGTGGCTATACTTTTTCTTGGCTCGGGACGCCCGTTCCGCGTCGCCCCCCTTGGCCGCTGCTGTCGCCTTGCCGAGCTCGTCGAGCGCGTGCTGGCGGGCGAGCTCGATTGCATGGTCGCGGAGACGACGTAACCGGGCAGACAAATTGCCGCCGAACTCATAAGGGTTGTCTACCAAGTCCTTCAGGGTCGGATACATGTGAAGACAACGGGAAATCGTCCCCGTAGCCTGGTTTTCCACGGCCCGGATACAACGCATCGTGATACCGAGCCGGTCTTCCAAAACAAGGTCTTCGCAGACGTTCGTGAGCTCCCTGCCGAGATGCAAGGCGACTTCCTGGATCGCCTCCTGCAGCAGGCGCAGATTGCAGAGGCCAGCGTTGTCGAGGTTGGTCTTCTTCTTCTCGTCGTAAGCCAAGACAACCCGACGCAAGAAGTCGTCGTGATTGATGACGTGGTCTGGTATGCCGCGGCCTGCCGCGACCAACTGCTGCGGGGTGCGACGCGAAGCCAAAACTGCCCGATGGTTGGATACGTCTTGCCTCCATTCCAGGGCGACCGCCTTGATCTCCCGATCCAGCTGTTCAGAACAATGGTGGTTGGCATAGATCCGGTCTAATCGGGCTCGCGAAGAAGCGGCTGCATGAGTCATGTCTGGCTGGTGAAGCTCATGAAAATTGAAAGGCTGCTCAACGATCCTCCGAAAGTGGTTTTCTTCGGCCTGATCGCGACGACCTGAAGCCGAAGCCGTTGGCAACGCCCGGCGGTCGGCGTCCCGGGTGACCCAATTGAAGTCGCCGCCCATCAGCGTGAGAACGGCTCGTGGCGGCGCCAGGGCTTGTGCAACTCTTTGGCGGAGGTGGGCCCGGAGCTCCGGGAAGCTCGAGCATTGGGCCGCCCGCCTCTCGGGGTGGACGCCATACAGATCCAATTCCGTGACGACCGCCCCCGTGTGATAGTAAGCCACCAGCAGATCCAGCGCCCCAGCACGGCCACGGAGGGATAGTTTTCCCGCGCGGCCCGGCCAGAACGGCCCCCACACAGGTGTTTCAGAAAAGTGCTGCAAGAAAGACTCTTTCACTACAATCCCAATGCCTGCGTGACCCGTGGTGGGCCCAGGCGACCACCAGGCTCGGCATCCCAGCGGCGGTCGCCAAGCAGCGTGGGCTCCTGCCGTCCCATGGGCCTCTGTGATCATCACGACGTCACTGCGATTCAACAGCGAAAGCAAGTAGCGGTGCTTCACGTCCCGGCGGGGGGCTTCCGAAGCGAAAAACGCTTGAGCGTTCCACACTGTGCAAGTGAAATCGCCCCGGAATTGCCCCGAAGCTGGGGAGGGCGCCGCCTGGGCAGGCCGTGGCACCGATCGACCTGGTGGTAATATACGCTCGGCGTGGCGATGGCCCAGCGCACGTAGAAGGCGCCTCCGGCGGTACAGACACAGCGGCACGTCAGCATGAGGGGCGTCGCCGTGTTGCGGCAGGACGTCCAGATGCCCATAGCGTAGGGCGGGCAGCACGGGAAGAAGACGATCTTCGAGTAGGTGACGAAAGTTGACGGGAAACGCAAATCGTGAACAAATTGTCGAATTATGTGGTCCAGGACACTCGTAAGGATGAAAGCTGGTGCGGCCAGACTGCCCAGGCCCCCCCGTCGAGGCACAGAGGCAGAAGACCACGTCAAGAATCCAAGCCTGCAAGCCGTCCTCAGTCCAAAAACGAATTCCTCCATGCAAGTGCCCAGGCAGATCCGGAGGGCGGGGGGCACTCAGCCCCGCCTCCGGAGACCATTTCCCGGCACCCGGCCGCTGTCCAGCGCATCGTTCTCCACTACGATGCCGACTTTGTCGTTGCCTACCTGGACCGTCTGGCCGTGCAAGGCCGCGTGCACCCGGCGCACCTCGTCCCCGTTGCGGAGGAAGATCCGGACCTTGCCAGGCGCAGCCGCGGAGTCCACGCTAGCCATGTGAACGTACTCCCCAGCCCGGGGACCACGAGAGTAGTCCGTCTCCGCGATGCCCAGGTGCGTGGTCGCGACGAGGTGGCCCATCAGCAGCCGCATAACCTCTGCGTCCTCCTTTCCGAGCTCACCCTTGATCGTGACGTGGTGATGTAGTCCATCGCCGAGCTCTTCTTGTGACCGTGCCTGCGGGAGGCTGCCAAAGCTGCCGTGGTGGCTGTTGGGGTCGCCACGTCCCGGCCTCCGTTGCGAGAGGGCCTCCATTTCAGACGGGCGTGGGTTTCCGAAGCATCCTCGCTCAGGATTCTGTCCATTGTGGCTGTCCACGCTGCGGCGCTGGCGTCAGTGAGCAGAATGGCCTTGTTCGTACCCAGGGCCAGCATCTGGGTGCAGAGAGCCCAATAGTGGCCTACATGCCCTGGCGTCGCCATCTCCAGGATGAGCGCCTCGCTTTGCGAGAACATGGAATGGAATCCCCAAACGGCGTCAGCTGGCAGCCCGTGGCGGCGCAAATGCCTGAGCACCATCTCCGCGTAGAGGTCCGAGACGGAAGAGTCGAAAATGAGGTCCACGCAGAGCCTCGGGCACGATGTACTGCTCCATGGACTCGGCCGGGGCTCCCTCACCAGTATCTGGTCGTAGTCGGAGCCCTGGAAGAGCAGCAGGAATGACGGGAGGTCCGCACTCTGGAGGTCCACCGTGGCCCGACGGACAGCCTGCACCGCCAGGAGCGGCGCATGCAGAGGTCGAATCTGGGGAGGGGCGCGGGGTCCGTCGAACTCCAAGTGGAAAATCGCCAGGCCGTGCCGGGACATGCGGGGTCCAGCGGTACCTGTGGTGATGATGTCCATGGGGTCCAGAGTGAAAGAGCAACGCCTCATAATTGATGCCCATTTCTCCCCCAGTAACGGATGCCACCAAAAGTCCAGGACCTCGTCGGCCGTCGTCAGCCCTGGGGACAGCCGGATAGTGGCCAGCATCTTGACGGATGACGGTCGGCGATCCGCCGGGAGGCGGAGTAATGAAGCCCTCAATCTGGTAAGGGCGTTCGTGTCATCTGGTGCCCACATCCATACCTCCCGTCCCACCGTCCAATCCCACAGCTTGTCATCCCCCTTCTCAGCCAGCGTCGCAACCCCCCGAACATCGGCGAGGGTCTCCCGCGAGTAGCCGTGCAAGTCGAAGATGTTGGACCACTGCGTGAGGACGAGCCGGCCTGGGGCGATGAAGGGTTTGGGGAGGAGCTCCAGAGCCTGGAGACCGAGCTCCCTGAACAAGGGGAGGGAGCTGAACTTCATCTTCCTGCGCTCCCGGAGGATCCCTGGGAGCTCCTTGCTGCAGTGCACCGTTGCCTCCTGGACCTTCTGGACGAAATTATGGACCAGCTGCCGGTCCGACGGCGGCCAGGAGGCCTGCTCCGCGAGGCTGGCCAACATGGTGACGATGTGCTGCCGCCTAGCGATAAGAAGATCGTCCGGAGCAGGCCCCTCGTACATGGCCAGTCCCAGGCGCCTCCATGGGTCCGCCGAGTCGACGTCGAAGGCGAGCCTGGCCAAGATCACCTTCAGCTGCACCCACGTGTGCGGGTAGGCGATGCGTGCTTGTTGTAGCTGTCCAGACACGTCCATGGCCCTCACCAGCTCGAAATGCTGTAAGACCTCATGGGAGATGAAGGCCTCCAGCAATTCATGCGGCAGCGGCAAGGCAGAGGAAGAATCGGGCTGCAGACCGGGAGGAGGCACGAGTTGCAAGGCCGCCATGTCCTGCGTGGCGTCGGTTTCTCCATTCTCGGTGTCCATGTCTGAGGAGCCGGGCTGCACGTGCGGCGGCACAGATGCCGGCGGCAGCGCAGCGGCGGCGCTGGCCAAGCCTGGCGGCGGGAGCACCGCGGGCGTCGCCGACCCGTCCATGGCGTGCGCCGCGCAGACCAGCTCGCCTGGCAGGGCGGGGCCGTCGAGTCCGCGGGCGGCGCAGACCCGGCAACGCATCGCCATCGGAGGAAGTGGGGAGGGAATGGGAGAAGCCTGAATGCGCCCTGTGCGCGGGCACTCGGGGCCGGCCCGATTGAGCCGGATGATTACTTGAGCCAAGATGAGTTCTGGGATGTGGTCCTCGAGTACGATGGGAGCAACATAACCCCAGAGCGGTGCGGTGACGGGCCGTGCGGAGGCCTCGAAGTCCCCAGGCCCTGGCACCGTGCTGGGGTCTCGCATGCCCCAGTCGCCCGAGACATCCCCGGAGAATGGCCCAGAAGCCGCCCTCAAGTGCACCTCACACCGCGTGGCCCGTCACCGCCCCGCTTGGGGCCTCGGATGCCCCAGTCGCTCGAGACCCAGAGATCCGACGCTGCAGCAAAAATTGGAGCGGCGGGATTCTGGCAGTTTTCGTCCTCTGGAGGCCCTCGCTGGGTCTCGGGAGAGTCAAAAAACAACTCAGGACGAAAAACCAGCCCAGGGGAATTAGTCTGAACCTCGGGGGCTCACGCATCGAAAAAAGTGGAGCAGCCGGATGTCTGGGCACACATCCCTGGAGGTCGGCCCAATTCCCCGAGCCGTGCGGTCACCCAAACCCCACCGACTCACCATGCGGTGCGCTCACCGTGTTTTTTCGATGCGTGGGCCCCGGTGTTTTTTTAATGTAATTTTTGAGGGGGAGCGCCTCGGTTTCGATACGGTCTTTCCGTCAGTAAGCGCTAACATCAAAACCGATGGCTCAGGCGTCCGCCGAGTCCTCCTTGCCATCCGAGCCGTCCTGGTCGTTCGAATCGTCCTTGTCCATGTGCTCCTCTGAGTCATGTCGTCTTCCGACGAGTCCTCATCCCCCTCCGTGCCCGCCTTGGCGTCCGCCTCGTCGCCCTTCGCGTTCTCCTTGTCCTCCTCCGTGTCCTCCGTCTCGGTGGCCTTCTCCTGGTCCTCCGCTCCCGCGGCCGCACGCTGGATCTTCATGTACAGGTGGTGCTCGGCTCCCTGCTGCCGCTTGGTTGCGGCCTTGACCCAGTGGCCAAGGTGCTCAAGAAACAGTTTGGCGTTGTTGTGCCATGGGATGTGGTTCACATTGATGATTTTGTCGTCGGGCATAATTTTGTGTTACGGATTTTCCTGATTCTACTTCGCGGCCGCACCGTTCTTGCGGATCTTTCCGATAGTGGCTGGGACAGTGTCGTCGGCATCCTGGCTCAGCTACCAGCCCATGAGATTGCTTTGGGAATCCTTGGAATGCTTCGGGATCTTCAGCAAAGCCGTGACGTCGAGCGACCCGTCCTCAAACTTCGTCTCAGGCACTTCCGTGGCGGGGCGCTGGATCTTGTGACGTACAGGCGGTGAGGTGTATATTTCACGCGTTTGCTCGCAGCATGAACCTGTTCGCCGATGTGCTTCACTAACAACTTGGTGGTGCTGTTTGATGATCTTGTCGCCTGGCTTGACCCGCAACCTGGGGTTGCCCTTGTTTTACTTGGCCACCGATCCCCCCGGGTGCGCTTTGCTGATGGTGGCCTGGACATTGTCATCGCCGCCGTGGCTGAGTTTCCAGCCAAGGACTGCGTCTCTCAGGCAAGCAAGATGCCCATGTTACGGACTGCGTGTCAGCTTCCTCACAAGCCGTATGCTCGAGGCGTTCCAGCTGCGCTGGAGAATGCACTGAGCGGATTCTTCTTCCTAAACGCTGGGCAACACTGGGGAAACCAAAAGGTACCGATACCGCTACTCCCCGGACCTCTCCAGGGGTGCGTTCTGACCAGGATTTCGAAGCGAATCCAGCGGTGGCAACGAGGGCCACCGAGGAGGCCCAAAAAGGGAAAAACGGGGGCAAGGTAGTGGCATGGGCACTTTTCCTCCTCTGAAAGATACTGGTGCAATATATCCCCCGTAGTGTCCAGCCAAGGACTTTCTGGTCGGAGCCCTCGGGGATCCGCAGCGGGGCCGCGAATTCTTGATACCCGGCATGAACACCCGAGCTGGTCGCGCGCGAAGCGTGCGACACACCTCCGAGGAGGGTGCCCAGAGTGCCTGGGTGAATGCACATGCAGTCGCCCATACATAGGGGAACAACAAGTGACATAAACATAAAAACTCGGAGGTCCGCGCGGATTTCTCGGATCGGCGCTGGACCCCCTCCCTGGCGCGCGGAGCGCGCCAGGAGCGGCGCCAGAGGCGCCGCCGGGGGGCCCCAGCGCCGATCCGAGAAATCCGCGCGGACCTCCTAGTTTTTATATGTTTATGCCACCTGTTGTTCCCCTATAGTACAGCCTCCGGCCGGAGCCAGAGAACAGCGGCGGCTCACGCAGCGGCAGGACCGCGAACTCGAGCGACCCGTCGGGCAGCGGCGCCTGCCCCATCACGCCGTGGAGGCCTGCGGCGGGGCGGGCTCCGGGAGCGGCGAGCACGAGCGCCGCGGCTCTGAGAGGGCCGGCCACGCCTCCCGCGGGGCAGGATGGGTACCCAGACCCCCTCGCGCTGTGACAAAAACCACGACGGGAGGATGTTCGTTCGGCATCCGGGAACCCGTAACGGGACCGGCAAAAAACGACTCAAGATCAAACACCGGTCCCGGGGAACGGGTCCGGACCTCTGAGGGTCGCGTCATGAAAAAAATCATGACGTGGGCAGTCTGGGTAGCAGGGTGCAGTGCATGGATGCTTGGCAGGCTGCTGCTGCCCGCGTCGGGGTGGCTTGGGCCAAAAGTTTGAGCCAAAATGGCTACGGACTTCCCCAGGGCCGGCTTTTCGTCCCGAGCTGTTCTGTTGACGCTCTCGCGAGGCCTGGCGAGGGCCCCCTGGAGGCCCCCAAAACTGCCAGAATCCCGCCGCGCCAATTGATCTGGAGCGTCGGATCTCATGGGGCACTGCCTGGGGTGGGGAAACCAAAAGGTACCGATACTGCTGCTCCTCGGACCTCTCCCGGGGTGCAGGATTCCGAGGCGAATCCAGCGGTGGCGACGAGGGCCTCCCAGGAGAGGAGGATGAGGAGAAGGAGGTGGAGGAGGAGGAGGAGGAGGAGGAGGAGGAGAAGGAGGAGCAGGAGAAGAAGAAAAAGAAGAAGGAGGAGGAGGCGGAGGAGGAGGAGGAGGCGGAGGAGGAGGAGGAGGAGGAGGAAGAAGAGGAGGGATGGGGGGGAGGCCCCAAAAAGGAGACAACGAGGAAAGGGCAGAGGTATGAGTAGCTTTTCTTCCTCTGCTGGGAGGGGGCCGAAGCTCCACGAGGCCCGCGAGGCTCCCCGCCCGGCGAGCCAGCGCGTGCACGCTGCCGGGCGCCACGCCCGGCAGCTTGCGGAGCATGTCCAGGGCCTGCACTTGGGTCGGGCACGTCCCCCTACAGGCGGGGCGTCGACCTAAGGAACCCCAAATAAGATACGAGGCCCCTTCTTCCCATACGCTGAACTTCGATTTCCCATCGAGAACCTAAGGAACACCCTAGGCAAGCTGTAAACCAATTAAGGAACACCGAGCCCCTGCCCAACGAAAATGGTTTCTTCTTCAGCGCCCCGACTGTACAGGAGGATCTTGGGCGATAAATAGAAAAGGTGGTCAACTAACTATTCAAACATAGTTAAAACCAAGACTCGGAACATCGGCCTAGACTATGTTCTTCCAATGTTTGAGCATCCCTCAAACAAAAAGTACCCGTAACAAATGTCAACAAAATATTCAAACATAGTCCAAAAACCATGAGAGAACATCGCCCCCCGACTGTTTTCCAAATCCACCTGTAGAGGGAGACGCCCGACTCAAAGCCTGTACGTTCGAGCGGCGGCCCTGCGGCGCGGCCGCGGCGCCGGGCTCCGGGGCGTAGGCGTCGGCGTCAACCTCCGCCGCCGCCCTCGCGTCGGGCTGGTAGCGGCCCTCCTCGGGGAGCGGCGCCAGACCCCGCCTCCTCCTCCTCCACCTCCTCCGCCTCCTCCTCCTCCTCCTCCTCCTCCTCCTCCTCCTCCGCCTCCTCCTCCTCCTCCTCCCTCCCCCTCCAAAACGGTCTCCTTCTCCTCCCTCCTCCTCCTCCTCCTCCTCCTCCTCCTCCTCCTCCTCCCCTCCTCCTCCTCCTCCCCTCCCCCTCCCCCCTCCTCCTCCTCCCCTCCCCCTCCAAAACTGTCTCCTCCTCCTCCTCCTCCTCCTCCTCCTCCTCCTCCGCCTCCTCCTCCTCTTCCTCATCTTTCTCGTCCTCTTCCTCCTCCTCCCTCCCCCTCTTCTGTCATGAAGAAAACACGGCGGGAGGTACTTCGCCATTTTCGGCCTCTGAGGGCCCTCCCCGGGCCTCGGGACCGTCAGAGAACGGTTCAGGAGGAACAAAAACTGGTCCCGAAAAACGGGTAGGGACCTCTCTGGGGGTCTTGTCATGGAAAAATCATGACGTCGGGGGTCTCGGCAGGGGGTCATCCCCCTCTCGAGGATCCGCCTCTGCCCCAGTCCTGGCTCCCCACAGATCCGACGCTCCCCCCCGAAAAATGGCGCGGCGGGATTTCTGTTGGCCTCCGGGGGGGGCCCTCGCCTGGCCTCGGGAGCGTCAAGAAACCGGCCTTGGGGAGGTGGTCCGGACCCCCCGGGCCCACGCATCGAAAAATTTGGAGCGGCCAGATATCTGGGTTCGTCTCCGCTATCTTACTGGTCCACACGCGCCAACAGGGCCCCGTGGTCGCTTCCGCATATCGTTGCGCTGTGCAGACTGTCACATCAGCCTAGTCTTGCCGATTCGTGCGAGGGTCAGCCACCACTAGAGTCCCTCCTGAGCCCACAGCATTCCATCTTTGAGCGTCTGGACTGGAGGGGGGCGCCCCTTCCTCGAGAAGGCGCCGTTCCCTCCAGAGAGTGGGCCCCCAAGAGCACTCCAGCAGAACCTTTCGACACGACCTCAGGCGTCCTGAAACCTCCTCGAGGCTCGACCCTGGAATTCCTCGATTTCAAAGCGGAGCCCGTGACCCTCTTCGAGGTGACCCGCCTTGGTTTAGGTCGGGCATGTCCCCCTACAGGCGGAATTTGGACGAAAACTAAAACATGGCCAAGAAATGCCCCGGAACGCTATTTTTTTACTATTTTGAATATTCCCTCTGTGGAGGGACACGCCCGACTTAACCCTTGGCACTGCCGGGTCCTTCAGCTTGAGGAAGACGTCGGCCGTGAATCGGGGTGAGGGGCTCCAGATGGTGCGCAGCTTGGGGAAGTGGAGCACCAGCAGCGAGAGCTTCCCCAGGATGTCCCTGGCGCCTACGTCAACCTCCCGCCTGGCGATCGTGTACGTGTTCATCAGGGCGAAGGACTTTCCAGGGTCAAATTCGATGAGCAGGCTTGGCCTGGCATAGTGCTGGCACATGCTCTGCGCCTGCTGGTAGAGCCGGCCACTGGACAAAGACTGAACCAGGTCTGGGATGGCCTTGCGCTCCACGCAGATGTCCCGCGAGAGCACGTAGTCGCCGACAGGAATGGTCACTGGCTCGATCGTGAGGTCGCGCATGTAGAGCATGAACGGCAGCGAAGACCGGAACTCGCGCTGGTCCACGACCACCCTGTTCTGCACCGCCACCCGCGACCTTCTTCTTCTTCTTCTCCTCCTCCTCCTCCTCCTCCTCCTCCTCCTCCTCCTCCTCCTCCTCCTCCTCCCCCTCATCCACCTCCTCCTCTTCCTCCTCCTCAACCTCCTGGGGCACGCGGTCATTCCCCTAGGTGCTCAGCGGGTTGCCTCTGGCAAGAGGCCAGGTCATATGAGCGACTTGGCCCACACATCCATACCTTGGTGGCCCAGGTGTTTCGAAGGCTCTGCTGCTGGATCAGCTCGCGATCAGCCGCCCTGGCTTGCCCTCCTCCTCCTCCCTCCTCCTCCTCCTCCTCTCCTCCTCCTCCTACTCCTCCTCCCCCTCCTCCTACCTCCTCCTCCCTCCCTCCTCCTCCTCCTCCTCCTCCTACCTCCTCCTCCTCCTCCTCCTCCCTCCTCCTCCTCCCTCGCCCCTCCGCCCCCCCCCTCCTCCCCCTCCTCCCCCTCCTCCTCCTCCCCCCTCCTTCCTCCTCCTCCTCCTCCTCCTCCTCCTTCTCCTCCTCCTCCACCTCCTCCTCCTCCTCCTCCTCCTCCTCCTCCTCCTCCTCCTCCGATCCTCCTCCTCCTCCTCCCCCTCCACCTCCTCCACCACCTCCACCTCCTTCTTCTCCTCCTCCTCCTCCTCCTCCTCCTCCTCCTCATCCACCACCTCCTCCTCCTCCTCCTCCTCCTCCTCCTTCTCATACTCCTACTCCTCCTACTCCTCCTCCTCGCTCCTCCTCCTCCTCCTCCTCCTCCTCCTCCACCTCCTCCTCCTCCTCCCACCTCGCCTCCTCCTCCTCCTCCTCCTCCTCCTCCTCCTCCTCCTCCTCCCTGCTCCCTCAACTGCCGCTGCACAATTCGCCGGGCCACCTGCACGAGCATTCCGCGCCCCGCGGTGCGCCACGCGCGGTCCTCTTCGCGCCCTCGCGAGGTCAGCCGGCGAACACCGGCGCTCCGACACGGGCCGCGAAGCGGAGGGCGCGGTCACCTTTGCAGCCCTGTGGGTGCCCTACGTAAGAGGAGGAGGAGGAGGAGGAGGAGGAGGAGGAGGAGGAGGAGGAGGAGAAGGAGGAGGAGGAGAGGAGGAGGAGGAGGAGGAGGAGGAGGAGGAAGGAGGAGGAGGAGGAGGGGGAGAGGAAGAGGAGGAGGAGGAGGAGGAGAAGGAGGAGGAAGCGGAGGGGGAGGAGAGGGAGGGGGAGGGAGAGGAGGAAGAGGAGAACGCTCGAAGGGCCAGACTGCTCGAACATGGAAGTGAATACAACTTCTCGGAGGGCCGCGCGGCTTCCGTGGGTCGGCGCCGCCACCCCCCTCCACCTCGCCATCGCTCGGACGTCCCTTCCCCGTGCACTGTTCGGCTCCGTGCGCGCATCCCCC